GGGCCCCCTACAGCAGCAGCAACGCAGCAGCAGATGAGTGGTCTATGCTGCTGCGGCAGGGCGATTCTGCTGCTGCTTCTGCTGCTGCTGCTGCTGCTGCTGCTGCTACCCCAGGGGTGTACGCAGCGACGTCCGGCGCTGAAGAGAGGAACCACGAAGGCGAGCACAGCAGCAGCAGCAACCTCCACAGCAGCGGGTACAGCAGCATGAGCAGCAGCAGAAGCAACAGCAGCAAGCTAAAAAAGCCGCTGCAGCAGCTGGTAAGCGGAGTGCAGCAGCTGCTGCTCTCTGACGCTGTGCTTAGTGATGCAACGCATGCGGTCTTCGGGCGGCAACAGCAGCAGCGCGAATTTAATCTCGAGACACGCTCAGCAGCAGCTTCGCCCCACACCTAGCTTCTGCTGTTGCTGCTGCTGCTGCTGCTGCTGCTTGATGGTGTTGCTGCGGCAGCTTCTGCTGCGTGCTCTTGCTCCAAAGGCTGCAAGCGCCTTCGCGGCAGTGGCAGGAGCTAGAATTAGTAATTGCTGCTCAGTAGGCCTGAAGCTGCAGCTGCAGCAGCAACAGCAGCAACAGCAGCAGCAGCAAGCTAGTAGACTGGTTGATCCTTTGCTCAGACATTTGCTGTTTTTAAGGTTTCTGCATTCAGCTCAAGCAGCTGCAGTGCTTACGCAGTGTATATACAAAAATTAATAAATTAGTTCATATCTTCTGCAGATGATTGTGCTGCTGCTGCTTCTACTACGGCTTCTGCTGCTGCTGCTGCTGCTGCTGCTGCTTTTGTGTTTAGCAGCCTGATGTTGCACTCTACGGCCTCAAAAGGGCGGAAGCAGCAGTTGCTGCTGCGGCTCCGTTCATACTCCCTGCTGTTTCGCCGGGGAGTGCCTTGTGGCACTGCAGCAGCAGCAGCAGCAGCAGCGGGAAGAACAGCAGCAGCAGCTCGTATGGGTGAAGTATTTGTACACCTAGAGACAGACCTTTTAAATAACTACAAAAAATATTATAAGAGCAAATCAACAGCAGCAGAAGGCAGCAATTGCTGCAGCCTTAGTTGGCCTTGTCGGCAGCGCCCCCACGCATGCAGCCGACAGCAGCAGCAGCAGCAGCAGCAGCAGTACAGTGATTGCAGTAACGCGGCGAGATAAAGAGATATTTGTTATCATGTGCAGCTAATTACGTGGCTTGTCTCTTTGAGTTTCTTCTTTAGGCAGAACAGCTCGCAGAAGGGGGGCGAGCTTGCTGCTGCTGCAGTCGATTCCTGCTGCTGCTGCTGCTGCTGCTGCTGAAGCCTCCTTCTCTTATCATCTTCCCGCTCTTTCCAGCTCGTTATCTGTTAATTAGGAGATATGTGAGGAGAGGATCGCCCAGATGCTGCCGCGGCTGCTGCTGCTGCTGCTGCTGCTGCAGCACTCCATTGTCCCCTAAGGGCCTCAACCATAGCCATGAGCCCTCAACAGCACCGACATAATCTGCTGCTGCTGCTGCTGCTGCTGCTGTCTTTCTGCTTCTGCGCTGCCTCGCTGCAGCAAGACCTTCGCTGTCGATTCCCAGTGTTAAACGGCAGCAGCAACAGCAGCAGCAGCAGCAACAGCAGCATATACTACTGCAGTACCAACAGCAGCAGCAGGAGCAGCAATGAGGGAAACAGGATTTGCTGCAGTGGCTTTGTCTCCAGGGCATCTGCAGAGACAACGCAGCAGCGGCTGCCGCTTGCATGCAGCAGATGGTGTGCTGCTGCCTGCAGCAGCCCCTCAACCGCAACAGCAGCAGCAGCAGCAGCAGCAGCAGCAGCTAGTGAGGCTAGAGACAGCTGGGAGCCGACAAACCCTACCCTGCGGGATTTGCTGCAGCGGCGGCTGCTGGCAGCAGCAAGCGACCTCAGAGAGCTCGACTGTATCCTCAACTCCAACCGTAAAGCAGCAGCAGCAGCAGCAGCAGCAGAAAGGCACCCGAAAATAGCGACTGCTGCAGCAGATGGCGCAGCAGATGCCGCTGCTCTGCAGCTGCTTCAACCCTTTCCGCTCCACGACTCGAGCAGCAGCAGCAGCAACAGCAGCAGCAGCAACAGCC